TTAAGATGTRCAACTGAAATATCTAACTTTGTGGCAGATGCTGGTCTATGTGACCTTTTGTAACTGAAGGGTTCTTTTATCATTTGAGCTTTTGGGTTTGTATTTCTCATCTGCTCTCTTCTGCCAGCTTAACTGAGATTTTAAATCAAAACCTAATTAGACTACATATGCTGTTTAGGAAGAAGTTCTGAGGAAAGTAATGATTCATACTAGCTTTGATATTTCCAGATAACATCTAAGAAGAAATGTGATTTTAATTGTTTTAAATAACTTTCAATCACCCTCTTACTCAAATAAAAGTAGTTGAGCACAGTTCTTTGATCMAAAAAAAAAAAATCTTCAGCAACAGAAATACCAACTCTGTATTCCTAACAACTATACCATCTATGCTTAATGATGAAACTCCTTATTGACACACATTTTTCAGCTAAGTAGTATTGTAACTTAACTATGATACCATTATCATAAGCCACAAATCAGAAGTTATCAAATGGTATTTAATTCCTGAAAAACAAAAATCTGTGTGTTCAGGTTGAGCACCTAGGATGTCAGCCAAAGTTTGCTTTTTAGCAATGTTGATATGAGGAGAGTTGTATCTTTTTATTTTTCCTCTTTGACATTCTGTGAGGGAAAATTAATTATTTTAATGTTATTTTAATTACAATGCACTTACCTGAATTATACATTTCAACGTTTTGACTACTGTTAAGAAAGGCCACATTTTAAACCCTCTCAACTTGCACTAGGTTAAGGAAACCTGTATCAAAAATTATGACTGGTATCCTGTTCAAACATTAATAGACACATTTGCCAAAAAGCCCTGGCCTCTGACACTTATCACAAAGATGTAAGCTCTATCTTTAAAAAAAAAAAATTAAAAAGAAAATATTAAAAACCTTTACATTTTTATGTCCTAGTTAGTTATTTGACCCAGTTCTTAATCAGAAGTAGCCAGAATTTTCTTTTATTCCACAGAGCGATTGCCTGCTGCCTCAAGAATAAGAGCCTGAGTATTTCCCCTGATAGAAAGCTGTCAAGTCATAATGAGGATCTGTGTCTTCCAACATCAAGCCAATGCAGTTTATGTTAGTTGTCTGAATAGTGTACTGTGACACAGTGCATGCAAAAATTATATTCTGGAAACCAAAAAAAAAAAAAAAAAGTATAGATATTGCCAAGATAAACACCTGAAAATATAACCACAAATTCATAATAAGCACTAGCAAGATTTCATAATTTTTTTTCTTAAAAATCTAAATTAAAATTCAAAAAGAAAAACAGAAGTGTAGATTTTCAGTTACTCTGTTACTTTAGTGATTCATAAAGCTACAGCAGTGAATAAAGCTACAGCAATTTGTTTTGCCATCTAGTTGAATATGTAATACATGCAAATATCTCTCTTATGTTTACTGTTTAGCCATTACTAATATATGACTATCAAGACAAGGAAACAATATATAGAGACATMAGACTTTAAAAAGAGTTTATAAGAAATAAATGGAATACAGATTTATACTGAGACAACACTGATATTCCAAACTTCTAAACAACACATAAAGTCTACTGAAATASAAACAATATAAAATGCATTTGCATATTCATTGAAGCTATCAAAAATAATTGTTTTCTAAATGTTAAAAATCGTCAGCATTTTCCATAAAAGTTTCAAAAACCCCAAATCAACTCAAAATTTTAGTAGCAAGACCTAAATTACACAACAACCCTCTCAAAAAAAACCCAAAAAACCCTGAGTAGACATACATTAAAACCAAATCAAAAAATCACCATGCAGAGTAGCAAAATGGGATCTATAAGTCAAACAACTCCTGCCTACAAACTTCTGCAATACAAAGCAATTAAAGTATTCTTCAGAGACCAGGAAATGTGTAGTGGAACAAAGAATGTTTTGAAGGTAAAGTTTATTTTCTTATTGTTTCAGATAAAATAATGAAAACATGAACTCTGAGTTTTATAGTCGTGCATCAATGCCATTTTTGATATGTACTATTTGTTATCACCAATAGTATTTCCTGGAAAGGCTTAACATGATAGGTTGAGAAACCCTACRTGATCTTCACATTTTACAGTGAGAATTAACTGTGTTGAGGATGGTGGATGGTGTTGAGGAGAGCTGGGGAAGGGGGAAGCAACACCCAATTACAAGTTTTACATTGGCTATTATTCAGTGTAAATTTTATTGATTTTTATCATCTGCTATAATTGGTCAACTGGATGGAAATATCTCATTTTCTGTGAGCAAAGCTGTCCTCAAAGAATGGTAAAGACATCTTAGACAGAAATAGATTATTTAACAAACCCCTCATTGTATTAAACCAAGGTTTACATACATGATTACTGAGTAAAGACAGTATTTTAGCCCTTTGTTTAAATGAAAAACCAGATCACCACATAACCATGACACGCACCAAACAATGTGTACTTAAACCACATAGCTGGATGTCAAGTTCCTTTCTATTCTAAGAATTAGCTAAATATCCAACAGTAAAAAATAATATTTACTTACACAACAAAAAAGGAAGAATAATGCCGTGATTGAGTTTTAGAAATGATACACATATTAAAAAAAAAAAAAAAAAAAAAAAAAAAAAAAAAAAAAAAAAAAACCACACCAGAAAGTCCAGCAAGATATTGCAGTAGTCACAAAGTATTCGAGTTTCAAGTTTCAGCTCTACACTCTTCAGGGTACAAGCACATCAGTACACACGTCAGACCTCTGGACATGCCATCCGCTTGGCTCTCTCAACCACCCGCATGAATCAAAAGGCTCCAGAGGGACCCAGAAGCACCAAATCAGGGCACGGGGGCAGAGAGCGGCTTCCCCCCGGCCGGGCCGAGGGCTGCGAGTGCGCTGTCTTGCAGAACCTTGGACAGCGGTCTCCTGTCCCACCTCAGTGCAGCGCAGAACAGTTCAACTGAGCCCAGCCCAGCTGAGCGCAGCCCAACCCAGCCCAGCCCAGCCCAGCCCAGCCCCACGGCTCACCCCAGTGCGCTCCGCACCCGCACCAGATTCCCTGCAGAGAGGGAAAACGCACTAAGTCGCACCCATGGGTTTGTTTTTTTTCCCCCTTTCCCCTTCTGAAATATCTTTCATTTTTAACACAGATTAGTTGGCCAAATTCTCAAAACATAAAGCAATATCATCTGGCACTCAGAACTGCAGAAATATAGGTCGCTGGCAGTGCGTTTGTGTAATTCATTTAAGTTTCACACAGTCATTTTAATGTSAACAAGTTTTTCTCCATCTTTAAAAAAGTATTTCTCCTCATTGCATATATGAAGGGAAGAACATTATACAACATAAATTTGGTGTTCTGTTCATTTTCAACACTTTTTACACCCTGATATTCTGTAAAGCAACTGAGTACTTTGTGGTAAAGTTCAATCAAACTAAACTGTGGCACAAAAAAAATCACATTAAGCATGTAGGTGCTGATAGATTGGCAGCATGGAATAGTAGGTCAATTTCTAATTACAGAGCTACTGAAATGGCAAAGATTTCCTTACAAAATATATATCTATTTACATTTGATTCCCTTTTTTCTTATCCAATTCACTCTGGAAATAAAGTATGTTTACATTACAAGTAACTGAGTACACAGCATATATCCATGAGTGTGTACACACACAGTTTGCAATCTAAAAACAGTAGAGTCAACACTTCTGATGAGTCTACCTTGCTTTGGCCAAGTTTAGAAAGAAAAAATAAATACAGCAACTTTCCTGCTTTATCCAATTAGAGAATAGATTGTTTCAGGTTCTGGCAGGACTGTGTATCAATTTTTGTGGCAAATATATGTGCAATTTATACTAAGTTGTTGGTGAATGGGATTCTTTAGGCATAGGCTGCTACCATGAAATTATTTCAGAAGGCCCTGCTGAAGTTACAGAGCACAGAGGTACTGCCAGGCCTCCTATTCAGAGCAGTGATTTACATGCACTGCGTTTCACTGCTAAAGCAGAATTTGGTACAGGCTGGTTAGTGTAGTGCTACAGTAGTTGAGATAACCCAGTTTGGGGCAGAAGTATTCACCTAGCAAGTATTCAAACGGGGGGAAAGCATGCCGTTAGCTATTTTAGGCACCAAGGACAGCACTTTTTTTCTGCCCTGTCTTGAGAGATAGGCCAACTAATCTTGTGCAAAAGTAAAGAAAAGGCAACAACTACAAGAGCCAAAGTGGGACCCTCTGCCTTCTAGCAAAGGAAAAGAAAAACCTCTGGATCTCTCTGAGCCGTCACCAATAAACCAAAGCAAGCAGCCGAGGCTGATCAAAACGCTGTCACCATCACTTCCCGACCAAAGGCCACTGCGGTGCCCGCCGACAGACACCCTTGTCCTCCACCTTTCCCCGGCTCCACAGAGCGCCTGAAGACACCGTCCCGCTCCCGCTCCCGGCCCGGAGCCGCACGTCTCAGCCGCGGTTYAGCACGGCCGGCCCCGGAGCCCAGCGCCCGACGGAACAGACCCGGAGYCTCCGGTGCGCGCCCCGGGCGGCCGCGGGGGACAAACCGCCCGTCCCCGGGGCACCGCGGCCACCTGTCCCCGAGGGCCGGCCAGGGCAGCGCCGTCGGGCATCCCCGACCCCGGTGRCGGCTCCGAGCCCCGCTCATTGTCATGCAGACCCTGTCGCTGCCTGCCGCCAAGTCGCATCCCAGCCCGCTGGAAGCCGGCAGCCGAGCCGGAGCCAATCGCATATTCATGAGGAGGGGGAAATCCAGCGCTACGCTCCCAGAGGAAGGAGGATCACTTCTTTTTGCGTTTTCTCGAGCTTCCCCCTCTCTCTTGCTCTCTTTAATAACGCGCTAACGGGGGCATCCCGGCCGATCCCTTCCGCGGCACCGCCTGSACCGTGAGCACCGCGGCCGCCGGCGCCAGGGGCACAGACCGAAGCAGGCACAACAGGGTCCGCGGCAGCCACAACAGCCGAGGGACGCACGCCAGCCCGCCAGCCAGGGACAGGACACACAGCAGGGGCTCCTACCTTACAATCCTCAGGACACGATTTCACCGAGTACTCATCCGACTGTAAATATTTCTGGAGCATAACCTCAAACTCTTCGTATTTCTCCTGAGCGTGCTGGTCGTAGCGCTGGTAAGCCTGGACGCACTGGCTGCAGGAGCCTTCCCCCTTCAGCACCACATCCAGACTGCAGTTCAAAGTGTCCGGATTGGACAACCCGGCGAACAACTCCCAAAGTGTGTAGGAATTACAAAAGGAAAGGTAAAAATCCGTCAGGTCCCAGCCGGGCTCCGGGCTCTGCCCCGTGCCCCGCTGCCGCCCCGACTCCCCCCGCCGCCGGCACACCGCCTCCGCGTCGCCCACGCTGAAGCACTGCCCGGACGAGGATCCCGGGGGGGGGCACGTCTCCAGGGGCCTGGCGGTGGAGTTCCCCAGGAAAGCAGCCTTGCCGTGCCGGGGCTCGGTGCCGTTGGTGCCGTTGGTGCGGCTGCCGCGGCTGCCGCCGCCGCTGCTGCCGGGGGAGGGCGGGAGGGAGGGCGAAGGGGGGGCGAGGAGCCGGGGCGCGGGGGGCGCCGGCTCCCCCATGCCCGCCAGCAGCTCCGGCTCCGCGGGCTCCGGCTTCTCGGGCGGCGGCTGCTCCTTCTCTCCGGTCCCCGTGAATTTGGCCTCGGCGCAAAACCACAAGTGATCAGAGAGCAGGACCGTGAAAAACAAGAGCGATGCCAGGGACAGTCGCCATTTCTGAGCCCTCTCTGAATCCGTGAAGGGTTTCTCGTTCTCCCGGGGTGCGAACCAGATTTTTAAGCCGTCATCATACTGCCGACTACACATCCAAGCACCCCTGGTCATATTTTGGGAACGCACAGCCCTGGCCGACTCCACCGTGAGGGCTCCTTTGCCAGTGTCACCACAATATGCATTGACTTAAAAGATTGGGGGGATTTTCTTGCCTGCCTTGCCTTCCTTTCTCTCGCTCGCTCTCTCTCTCTCCCTCTTCCACTCTCCCCCGTCTCTCTTTCTTCCTCTTTTTTTCTTTCTTTGTCTTTTTCTTTCTTTCTTCTTTTTCTTCCTCTGAGATATTGTTGGTTTCCGCCGGTGGCTCTGCCTAGGTCTCACCACACGAAACAGCCCCAGTCCATCCAACGCGGAGTGCCGTGGAGAAGATAAGAGCAATAACGCAGAGAGAGGAGGAGGAGGGAGAGGAGATGGTGGTGGTGGTGGTGGTGGTGGTGGTGGTGGTGGTGGTAGTGGTGGTGATAGTTGGTGGTGGCGGGGCTGCGCGACTGGTCCTTTCCCCCTCTCACCCAGGCATGGTCAGATCGCAGCTCCCCATCTCCCTCCTGAGAAAAGCCCACTGCCCCCGGACAACCGCATGCCGCGTCCCCCGCTGCCGACGGACGGCTACGGGAGGGCTCCTCGCCTCCTCTTCCTCCCTGCCGCCGCTGCTCCTCTTCCTCAGCCTTGAGCCGCGGCACAGATGCCTGCACCGCTGTCTCAATCTCTTTCTTCTCTCTCCGCTCCGCTCTAACTGGAGAGACGCTGCTGCAGGGCTCCCGGAGCGCTGCCGAGGATGCCGAAGAGGAGGAGGAGGAAGAGGAAGAGGAGGAGGAGGCTGCCGGGGCCGCCGCCGCTGCTGGTGACAATGGGCTGCGGCTGCCGCCGCTGCTGCCGCCGGGCGCGGTGTCCCCGGGCACACGGGGCGGAACTGCCTGGCTGGGGGCCCCCGATGGGCACAGGCATCTTGGGGCCCTGGGCTAAGTTGCCGCCATCTTCGTCCTGGAGAAACACTTTTTTGGGGGGAGCTCTGCCTTTTGCGTCATCTCCTCCCGCGCCGAGATCGCTCTATCCTGGCGCATTGGCAGCAGCAGCAACTCTGCCTCCTCCTGCCTGAGGAGGAGGAGGAGGTGGGAGATGCACTGAGGACCACATGGCCCCTCCAAAGGGCTTCCTCGATGCAACTCTTACTACTCATCTCACCGAAGGGACTGCTCAGTACCACTGTCCAGCCCTCTCTCCTTCAAAGTCTCCTTCCCTTCGTGGCCATGAAACACCATGTCCACGCAGGATGGTGTCTCTCATCTTARTGTTATCTTAGCAAATCACAAATGGCATATGACAGTCCAGGCTCTGCATCCTGGCCAGTTCTGGCCAGACAATAAAACACCTGAGCATAGTTGCCTGTCTTTCAGGCAGAGAGCTGGGAAGTGAAATGGCTATAAAACCCAAGCTGTTTCCCAAGAGAAGTTTTTCAAAACCCTGGTCCAGCCCATGAACTGGGTAAATACTGCCTTGTCTCTGTGTTTGCCTGCTTAGATGTCACTGCTTAAAGAGCAAAACAGAGGGGCCAGGCTTAGCTTTCTGCTAGGGTGATGAAATCATGATGATCTCCTCTTAAACCCACAGCAGAAATCCGTGGCAGAAATCAGTCCCCAACTATCATGATCTCTTGCTTAAATAAACATACTGGTTGGACACTCCTGAGTGTCTCTCACTCCTTTCATCTTGCTCACTTATGCACCTCAATGTAACAGCAGCAGAAAAACTTGGATCCCACACAAGACAAGAGAAGGTGCCAGCTAGAAGCTGAAAATTATCAGATGAAGACCTGGTGTTYACCTTGAGAGATCAGGCCTGCTATTTTGCCATAGAGTAACCAAAAGGTGAATTTTAATTTCTCCATTGGACTGGGGGCAGGTTTAGAAGCCATACTTTTCCTTGTTCAAGAGGCTTTCTCCATCCTGAGGAACTGATAATGGCCAGTGAAAGAGATGTACAATGTATCCCAAAAGGTGGGTTTGCCCCATTTTTAGGTTAAAGAAAGCTCTTTTCCTTAACAAACATAGTCTACACACTAGTAMAGCTTGCTGATGGTTCTTGAATTCACCTTTGAAAGGAGTAGTGGGAAAAGACCTGAAACTAAACTATATCAGAGGAGAACAAAACTTGTACCTTTTCTGACTGAGGCTGCCATGAGCAGAAGGGTGAGCTTACCAAGGAATATGCTAGAATTTCTGTCACTTTGAGCAGCAAATCGAGACTGGATGTCTTTCAAAAGGAGATGCAATACCTCAAACATAAGATTCAGAGGTATGGATTACTGAGTGAGGTTCTGTGCCCTGTGTTATGCTGGGGGTCAAGTGCATTATCATAATRGTCTCATCTGGCCTTACAAGATCTACGAGTCAAATACTACAGTGAGCAGAAGTTATCTGTGGATTTTATTTTGATAGGTTATTTAAAGACACAGAAATAAGTGTCAGTATTGTAAGGAAAGGTCTACTGTACTCAAACCAAAATGCATCTTTGCAATTTTCYGTCAATCAGCTCACAACATCTGCTAATGGTACATTATTAATTATAGTTTTGGAGCTTTGATTGAAGAGATTTGCCATACTGGGTCTTGTACTGAATTTGCATTTTTGTTATGATGTCTGTTTTGGGACAAGATTGTGACCAAGCTTTTAAAAGGCATCATCTATTTAATTATCTTTTGCTAGTTTGATTATGTATTTCTTGTAAGAATAAAGGGACTGAGGGAGAAATGCAGGACAAAAAATAAAAAAAAAAAAAAAAAAAAAAGGAAAACCCAACCCAAACCAAAAGCAACTGGAACAAGCAACAAGTTCCTGACATCAGGTCCAAGGTTTTCAAAATGTGCTCTGTTAAGGTATGTGGCAGTGACTGCAAAATTATTCTGTGTTTAACAGACAAACTTGAGATGAACAAAGTTGGTTTTGAAGTTCACACATGGAAAATAAGCTTAATTAATATATTTTTCCTTTTTTTTTTTTTTTTAAATGTTGTTTCCCTTTTGTCTGGTTGGGAAAATTAGAGGATAACAGGCAATTTTGCACTCCATAAGGAAATTAGAAAAGTTCTTTATCTCCATAGTGGAACTTCAAGATTTGGTAAGGAAAACATGCCRGTATTCAGACCTCCTTTGAAACTTAATATAAAAATGAACTCCTAAGTCTTTGCTCCTCTGTTTACACTTGTCTAAGATCAAAGCAAATATATTCGAAGTTAATATGCTGGGATAGTTTAGATATACTTGGCTTCTCAAAAAAAAAAAAAAAAATCCATTTTCATGTCATGTAATATTTTCACACATTTCCCAACTTTTTGCTGGAAAAATAGAGTGAAAGTTCTTTTTCAACACCTAGAAATAAACTATAAGAAGACATTCGGTATTTTCAAAATGAGCATGTCCTTGCTTTTCCAGTGACAGTTTTCTGTAACAGAGAATATGTCACGCAGAACTGCTGTTTCACCTCTTGTGTTTTCCCCAAAGCCCCATTCCCTCTCCCCCTAGCCCTGTGAATAACTTGCGACTTAGTTGCAGTAGCTGCTTCCTGATGGATCTGAACTGATGCAGTTCAGTTCTCTGGTGCCCCTTAGTGTTAGGTCTTGGAGCTCAAGGGAAAAAACAAGGCTATAAAATCTGAAAAKCAAGAGGCTGCATGTGGTGGGTGAAAGAATCTGAAGTACATACTGTATCTGCTTTCTCTCAGAGTTCCTTAATTTATTTTTTTTTTACCTTATATCTGATCTAAATAATAGCATTTTATTTGAAATAGCTTAATGAATTATRTGAATGGGAAGAAAAGTGAAAATCTTCCCTCAAAAATATCACTACAGAAGTATGTCCCCAAATTCATCATTCTTCCTAAATAACTCTAGTGGTACAAAATGCTCACTTCACTTTGAATTTTTTTTTTCTCTGGGAATATTTATTACTTGTGTTTCAAAGCTTGGCAAGTGTGAGGAGCTCATGGAATTGTGYCTCCCTAGCTGGTGGAGTCACCAGATGTTTCACAGACGGATCTCCTTAGCGTGATGTACTTCAGTGTCAGCTCCGCCACACTGTGCTTTAATCAATACAATCAGAGCTGMTGTTCTTTAATTCTTTGACTCATAATAGGTAAGACAACTGATTTATCAAGCACKAAGGACAAAGCCTAATAGGATGAGCACGAAGAAATTCAAGATAACTGAAGCTAGTGTTTAGCCTACGTACTGTGTGTTTTCTTTGTRAAAATACTTTAGCTTAACAAGGAGAAATATTTATTGATGCAACACATTAATGATAACAAACACTTGTCAGAATACAAGGCTTTGCTGTTTCAAATTAAATGTTCTTAAGCTTTTGACTAATATCATGCAAACAGTAATTTTCTGCATAATTCTATTGCTTTATTTTGTTGATTATAAAATTGTAACATCAAAAAAGCAGCATATAGGTCTTTCAGATGATTTTAACAGGTTTTAGAGCCAAGTCTTATCTTTGTAATGGAAATATATTTCTTTATACAGGAAAAAGCTTATTTTGTAATTGCTAAGTAACATTTCTTTTAGTAAAAGAAACAGGTTATTTTTAAGAGAATAGATTTAATYTTATTTTTGGTTTGATCAGTTCTACTGATAGGTGTAATTGTTACAACAATCATTAACAGAGATACTCAGTTAAATCTTTGCATTGGAGGCTCATCCAGAGCTTTTAATATCAAGCAAACATTATCAGGCCCTTTAGTAGTACTTCTCAGTATTTTTTTAACAATTTAAACAATTTGTGTTTGTTAGGAATAGCGGTACATTATTTGTAGGCAAAATGAYATGTCATCTATGTTCTTTAGCACCCTCAGAGTTCTTTCATTCCTTGTTTAATTTCAATATCTTACAACAAATTTTAGACTTCATATTACCCATTACCTGGGAAGGGAATCAGAGATTTAATTATCTGAATCCATTTGGTAAGAATAATATCCATGATGATTGTAAGACACAACGAAGTTAAGAACACTGAAGAATTCGTTTTGTTTCTCATCACATTCTTAATGTCTTAGTTTCCT